GAATATGATAATACCATAGGCATGTAAATGCAAGCTATTTAACTAACATAACTTAATAAGAACAACATTTAAATTATATATTTCAAAAATTACAAATGCAAAATTCAAATTTAAAAATGATCATAAAACACAAATATTTGTTCTTTTTGGTAATTGTATACTTTGGGATTCACATGATTGCTTATATACATCAATATACCTTGAGATTGAGCCCCTTTTTTAATACAAAGAAACATTTAATGTTATGATGTATGGATTGAGATGCAAATTTCACTTGTAAATTTTTGGTGGGAAGTAAGCATCCCAACATAGCAATTATTTTCTTATGGTGATGAATAATAAGAAAATAGACAGAAGCCTAACTTTAGGTATTTATTTATATATTTATTTATTTATTTTGATGTTGCATTTCTCAGGTTTACATTGACCATTAGATGCACAATTCATTGGTCTTTTATAATTTGAATTGTAATAAATGGAGCATGCATTTATATTTCCTATGCATACTTATGATGAATGATTATAGATTTCATTGGTACTATTGTTATTTCATGGGACCTTATATATTTTTCTAGGCTATTACTATTGATGTTGTTGTTGACCTGCAAACAGACGACCAGCCCCCCCACACCAACCCATAATCACATGAGCGCACGATCTCCCAATTTCTCCTCTCACGGCGCAAAACTCTCTCATTCGGCAACGACCGAAAACCCCATGCTCATTCGACTCTCCGGACCTGAGACACACGTAGAGCCGAAGATGACCGAACTACCTCCGCTCCCTCTCGTTAGCATGACTCTGCACGTAGGACCTCTATCCCGATTTCCGGTGGCCCGATCCGCCTGCACGAGTCCAACCTCATGCCACCAAGACTTTGATTCTCAGCCTACAGCCACGCGGGAACACCCTCAGCCTTCGGCTAGACTTCCTCCACTTTGGTCAAGCCACACCTCCCTCTGTGAAACCAGGCCCAACTGCTCCGGCATTCGTACCTCCCAACTCGGACCAGCGGCCTCCTTTGACTACCGGATTGCAAATCTGATCGACCATCCGCCCTCCCTTGGCCAATCCGCCTTGGTTTGTTTGAACATTGAGTGAGGGAGAGATATGAGAGGGATTATGCATATAATTATTATAATAGTAATTATAATTATAGTATGTATATATTATCAAAAAAAAGGAAAGCAGGAGACGCCACAATCAGCAATCGTCAGTTAGATATTTGAAGACAGTTCCGGGACTAAACAACGTCTCGAAGCCCTCGACCATTGAATCATATCCGGCTAGGTGGGTTTGAAAGGGCATATGAAAGTGCACTCACCTACCTCCCCTCGTGGGAAGGGACGTTGGGAGGCTGCCGAAATTTCTCAAAATTCATACTAAGCTTGTATAGATTTTTTGAAATATTGAAAAAAACATTCAATTTATTAATTTAACTAAAAAAAAGAATAATAATAATAATAATTATAAATAAGCAATTCTAATTAAAATAAACTAAATGTTTAAATTAACTAATTACCTAATTTTTAATAGTAAAATTAAAATCCAAACTAAAATATATTAAGTTGTAATTTTTAAAATTTAATTAAAATTTAGAACTTAAATTAATTAAATTAAACCTTTAAAATAAAATAAAATTTCATTTTTTTAAACTAAAATTTAATTATTTGAAAATTCAATTTAATAATTAACTAAAATAAAAATAAAAATTCTAATTAACTAAACGATTAATCAATTAAAAGTTTGAAATTTAACAATTTAAAGATTAAATTTAAATAATTAAATCTGTTAAATTAAACTGAGTTTCATTTAAGTAAAATAAAATAAAATTATTAACGAAATCCAATTAATTGAATAATTTAAAATTCAATTTAAACAAATAATTTTAAAACTTAATAAAAAAATTAAAACTTTAATTAATTAAAGTTGAAACTTTAATTTAATTAATTAAAACCTTTTAATTTAACATCTCTAAAATTGTTTGAGCAAGTGATTTAATTATTAATTAAATAAATTTAAAATATTTAACAAAACGAATTAATTAAATTTAAAATCTCTTAATTAAATAAATCCTTTAAGGCAATAATTTAATTAATAATTAATAAGTTTCAAAATACATTAAAAATGGGAGCAATTATATTTAATTTTAATTAAAATTAAAATTAAAATCCAGTTCATTAACATAATTAACTAATGCAATTAATTCAAATAACATAAAATACAAGAAAATGCAGGAAATAAATGTTTTCCACTATGCAACATAAGTACAAGCTATTTAGCAACTCTCAAATAGCTCTCAAACATATAAAACTGTTTCAGACTCTCAGCAATAGCCCCTGCAGCTAATTGTGAACTCTCTAAACTGCTAAAAGTATAATCTATCTGCAAGCAAACAAATATAGTATTAATACAATGTATCAAATATAATTGGTAATGTAAAACTAGACAAAGCAAAGCTAGTATTGGTAAAAAAGAGCTAAGTTTTGAAGTAAAACTAGTAAGTAAAGCTCAATACTGTCGGTAGAACTGGTATTGGAAAGTAAAGCTACCACCACAAGCATTACTGAAAGCTAGAGTTAAAAAAATAGCTACTGGCTAATAAGTGTAAAAAAAATGTCTGCAGGCTAGTACTGAAACAAAGCTGACTAAACAAGATGCTAACACTTAGAGCTGTCAATAATCGACCCAACCCGAAAACCCGACCCGAAAATTTCGGGTTATGGTTGACCCGAATCCGAAACGGGTCGGGTTCGGGTCCGAAAAATTGACCCGTTTGCAAAACCGGGTCGGGTTCGGGTTGACCCGGAAACCCAGGAATGACCCGATTTGACCCGGAGCAATCCCGCGTCAGCCCCTCCCCGCGTCGCCCCGCGTCAGCCATCCCCGCATCGCCTGGCTAGCCCCGCGTCGCACAATCCTATCAGCAATTATTTCACTAAGTATATTTGGTAATTGAAATAATATACACTTGAAATTCGTCTGCAACTTCCAATTGAAGCCATAAGGCTGATCTTAATGGAAATCTTTAGGTAAAATTAACCTAACCCTAAACCCATTTCCGACAACTTCTAATAGAAGCCGTAAGTCCGACTTCTGAGAGAAATGTTTAGGTGATAACATAACCTTAGATCCCTCAGTCATCTTGCTCTATAGGGTTATATTGTAAGACCCACCATACGGGCCACTTAGTTTATAAGATTATGTCATAAGACCCGCCGTCAGGCAACCTCTAAATTCATAAGCCATAAGACCTATCTAAACATGTAAAATCCATGGGAATCTTAGTTGATAGGGCTAAGTTGTAAGACCCGCCATTAGAGTCACCTCTAATAGAGGCCTTAAGACTTGTCATTAGGGCCACTTTCAAATGAAAGTCGTAAACCTCTACCCAAATTCAATTACACGGACAACTTCTCAATGGGGTCGTAAGACCCAACCCAAACCTAAACTATGGGCAACTTCTAAATAAATAAATATATATACCCCAGTCTACTCAGGATATGTGAGAGGAGGAAACTCATGACTGCTAATTAGATTCCCTGGACATTATGATCAACGGTCGTTAGTGTTGGTAGAATGAATCCTACAATATACTCGAGATGACAGAATCATGGGATCTTGATCGGGTCTACCTTCATCCGCACAACCAAGGTTTAGAACATTCACACACTGTTGGACACACATCTGTACTTCATGCACATACTAAATATAATTTCATCCTTAATGAAGAATGCTCTTCTACATGTCAGAAGGGATAATTAACTATGAGGGCTTGTGCTCATAGGAAGTAGGACTCATATCTAAATAAACCTTGACACTAATCTCATGGGAAATCTAGTTAAATTTCAAATCCAATCTACCTCAGAGAAAATAAGGATATTAAGCTTGTGAGAACAAGGTATGCGGCTATTTTTCCAGAGTGAACAGTTGCGTTGATGGCTTTATTTCATTAGGCCTCTTAGGCTTCCTATTCCTATTGTTTGCAAGGGAATTCCTTAGCCTTTGCTATCTACACCTGACTCTGTTGGGCTCTTTCATTGTACCTATGGCTGGCTTGATTGGAGCTTCTTCATATCATAGGATTTATAGTTGATTCCGTTGGGGTTGGGATCCATGGTTCTCCTATTTTTATGCTTACGTTTGGCTTCATGGGATCATCCGTGACAGTTGCTATCCTATTGGTGAGTTTTGTAGGATTCTTTCATGTGGTTCTAACTTCTAGAAGCTTCTATGGAGAGGAATTTTGCTATAGCGGACTTGACGAAGCTTTTTTATTTTTTTATCCAAGACTTATATTTCTTAGATTTGTAAATAGGTGTGTTTTAAGGTATGCAAAATAATTCATAACATGAATAAGTTAAATGTATTGGATTTGAGAACCTTCTTTGTCTGCTTTGGGATGATGATGCTTAATCTTGCGTGACATGTGAAATCTTTTTAGGAGAGGGAATCTCTTTATTAAAGAGTGAGATTTAGTTGACTAGTTTCTCTCTTTTCCTCTGTTTATTTTCCTCTCTCTTCTTATGGGCTTGACAGCGAGATTATATATATATATATATATATATATATATTCCTTTTTATGTACAATCAGCTTTGTTGCTTTTATGATCATTATTTCTTATTGTTCTTTTCTATTAAGAGATTAAAATATTTTCTATGAAAAATTTGTCATTAATCTTCCTGTTATTCACTGTTGGTAGAAAACAATTGGTTTTAGATATCTGGTTTTCTTATGAAAATTGCGTTTTGAAATCTTATTGAAATCATTATAGCATTACACTTAAATATGCATTGACTACGCTAGACCATAGAACGTCCAGCAACACTATTCAGTTAGGCTTTCTGAAGTAGCCTGTTTTATGATGTCTTGCCATGTAGTGGTAAGTTGCATAATTTACTATTGTGTACTTCTCTAGTTTAGCTTTTGTTGGTGTTCTACTTGTGTACTTTTTTCTGATAGTGTCAGCAACTCTGATATGGGGATTATAATCTTGTAGATACGCATCTGACCCACCACTAGTTCGCTATGCAAAAGTTGCTAAGCATCTTCCAGAGAAAACTGTTCGAGACGTGGCTTTGAGAAGTAGATGGATGACTGTAAGTTGGGAGTATACTTGCTTTTTTTATCACAACGTGAATTAGCTTGTGTAGTTTAACCATAGCTGCTCTTTTAAATGATATGGAATTTTTGGGTCATTTATTTCTACCGGTTTGCTTTCTATTTGTGGATTTTCTGCATGCAAACGGGTATGGGTTGGGTAGTAGCGATCTGAAGGATCATATTAAAAGAGATTTTAATTGATTTATTTATCTTGCAGAAAAAAGAAAGTGGAAAAAGAAGGAAAGATGACAGTCTATCAAGGAAAAGCAAAGATAAAAAGGTGGGGTTTCCCCTGATTATATGTAGTTGCATGGACATCACCCAATTGAACCAAATGCAACTTGAATGACATGATAGTATTTGAGTCTGTGCCATGTGATCAAGGTGCAATGGCGTTCATTTGGATTATCCGCATGCATATCAGCATTGTAATTACATAGTTTCATCTTGAAAATAACACCAAATTATAAGCCAATTCATGCAGGCAAAAGATGTTACATTTCACCTCAGCATTTGAAGCAAGATTTATTTAATTTTTGTCCGTTCTACTTTCTCTGTACCTTTTTTTTTTCCACCCTACATAAACATGCCATAAGATTGTTAGAATTGTTAAATTATATTTATTATTAAAGCTCACAGACCTCTTGGATTATGATGTTACTCAAGATAACCATGCATTCAAAGGTTCTGACTACCATCAATTGTTATCCATGAAATAACCACAACAAAGTTCTAGCTTTGAATTGACAGCATCGGAATATCCGGACATGTCATGTGTAAATTTACATTCCATATATTGATATATCATTCATAGACCAATTTTCTTTCTTGAATATTTGAGAATTCTACCATTTTATTTTCAGGAGAGGGCTACTGATTCATCAGCAAAACCTTCACCTAACCTAGCGGCACGGCCTAATGTCCCTCCTTATGCTATGCCAATGCTTTCCATGGAGAATGATGATGATATTTCATGCAAAGGTTTGCTTTTGTACACCATGATGTCATTTCATACTAAGTGCTCAATCTCACCGTGCTCTGTCTATTATGTATTTCTTTATAATGCATGTATTCTTTTTGCTGTGAAAATCTTAATTTGCGAGTAGATTCTTGTGATGTTCTTTATATGATAACATGTCACTTTTATCATTATTATTTTCCGCACTTCTTTTTAAGAGCTGCATTTTGCATTAACTCTAGGTTGGAGAAATCTTGGATAGAATATTAAACTAAGGTTTTGTTTGGGACGATTTTTTTATTACTCTTAAAACAACTTTATAATTTAAAAATTAAAATTTTTATACTAGACAGCTGCTTTAAGAAGCAGTAAGAAAGACGTCCCAAATGAAGCCTAAGAACGAGATGTACTGGCTACTGCTTCTCCGTCTTAACATTTTTTCGGAGTATTTTATTAATATTCTTTACCCTGTTTGTGTAGCAATTGGAGGACCAACGGGACAACTCCTTGATCAGACTGCACATATCTTCAACCAAATTTCTGGGAACTTTAATCATTTTCAGGTATATAATGCATGCTGCGTCATTTAAATTCGTATCATTACTATTCAAAGCATATCTGCTGTTGATGTGCTTGTGATTTCAGAATCGAATTGCTAAAAAACAAGTTACTCAGTACTTCAGTATGTTTTGCCTACCAAATCTACCGTAATACCATGCCAGCAAGTTCAGAAAATGATCTGCTCACAGATCGCAATTTCAGAGCTTAATTTAATATAAATTTATCGACTCTTAACTTGTATTTGATTTCTTTGCAGATAAATGATAACATTACTTTGTTCTGCCAAGCACGAGACAACATCCTCAACATCATGAATGAGTATGTTTTCTAGCTTTGATTAGCTTTTGCCCTCTTCATATATCGCTAGCTCTCTTCGTTTATATGCTCGTTCTAATTTATATGTAATATTAGCTGCAATCTATGGCATGCGAAAGGATGATTATGATTCTGTTAGAAATTATGTTTTCAAATTCAGATCAAGTAAATGGACAATAGATCATGGTATTAGAAGATAATAACATATATTTCATCCGTAGAAGCCCTCACAATCATCATTCAGCTTTGTAAGCACAGCAATGTAAATACATCCCACATCAGCTAACTGTATTTAGCACAGCCCAAAGCCTATAAATATATCTGTAATTAGTTTCTAAATTCAATAAGATAATTTCATTCTACTGCTCACGGCTAACTACTTAATCAATCACCTTCCTTCCAAGGCTCGTGGATGGATTTTGATAGGAAATACTTGAGTTCGCAATTAATCCAAGAGGAAATACTTGAGTTCGCAAGCAACCCTAGCGATAATTGGTAAAAACAGTGAGAATAATGCAAAAATCTAGATGAAATCAATCCAAAACGATAGATTGTAATAATGGAATCAAAGCCAAGCAAACATCAAAGCAATATACAATTGATTCTCAATTCGAGAGGAGGATTGTTCTCTCCCAATCTCTAGACAAGGAGTCTAGAGCCCAAGATGCCAAAGAAATTTGAAGAGAAACAAATCAAAGCATAACCTAACCCTAAAACACCTCTTTCTATTTAATACATAAACTTTCTAAATCAAAACTCCCTTCAAACCCTAGCCGCCCCCTCCTTTCTCCTTTTAGATTCAATTTGAATAGTGGGACCCACTATTGTGGGCGGCAAAGAGAGGTGGAGGCGGTATTAGCCCGCCTCCTAAAGACAAAAACCGGCCCCAGGTGGGCCCCGGTTCAGGAGTTGGGGCCGGTTCAAAAGGAACCGGCTTAACATATTTTCAATCCTTATGATACTTTCACTAGAAGAGTTGATGTATTCAAGAACATTCAGCATAAGATTATTATGTGAACAATCTCTTCTGATTATCATCATTTACCATATTGCAGTCCATGTTGTTTGCAATAGCTTGTCATTGAAAATTTCAATCTTCTTATTACTAAGTTTTTAAACTATGGTTTCGTTTGGGATGACTTTTTTATCGCTTTTTAAAACAAAATTTTAATACAAAAATTACAATTTATTTCTTGCATTCAATTGCAGATTGGATGATGTACCTGGCATAATGAGCCAGATGCCACCACTTCCAGTTAGATTGAATGAGGAGCTAGCCAACACTATTCTCCAACGGTCTCCTATGCCCCCACCAGCATAACATAATGGTGTTTCTTTGACCATTTCTGTTAGTTTAGTAGAGTTCTCTATGGAAAGAAATTATGACACCTTGCCTGCACCTTAGTTTTCTTGGTATGCTTTGTAGCAAGTAGGTGTTATTGGGAAGAAAGTGTCAATTTGTTTATAGTTAATATTTTAGGGTTTGGATGGGGCTGATTGGTGCTTGTTATGTATATGGTTAGGGCTCTAAAATAAGCTCGAGCTAGCCCAAGCTTTGTTTGGCTCTGCTCCTTGAAAAATACTCTTCTTGTTTGTGAAGAATGAAGATCAAGTCTAATTGAAGTTCTTATGTAGTTATGTGCACTTGAAATATGAGAGAGAGAGAAAGAGTGAGACTTTCATATATTTCTCAAATGTTTTTGAAAGAGATTACTGTTCATATAGGAGGATAAAATCACTTATCCCCAAATGTTTGAGAGAGAGAGAGAGAGAGGTGTTGTTGGGTCCAGCAAAGTTTAAGCTTATGTTTCGTTTGAGATAGCTTTCATATGATTTTCTTAATCAGCTTTTTAATACGAAAATATGTTGAATTAGAAATTTTTATACTGGAAAGTTATTTTAGAAAGTAGTAAGAAAGTTGTCCCAAATAAAACTTTAGGATTTGTTTGATACAACTTTCTTGTTATTTTCTAAACAATTTTTTTAACAAGAATATTTTAAAAGTAGCAAAAAAATATAGGCTAAAATCTGTCCCGAATGAAAACATAGGTTTTGTTTGGGATAATTTTATTATTGTTTTATAAAGTAGTTTTTTAGATTTTTTTTTTTTAATAGGATATTTTTTTAACTTGGAAATTGCTTTAGAGAGCATTAAGAAAGCTGTCTTAAATAAAGCCTTACCAGCCTCGTTTGAGATGACTTTTCTATTATTTTTAAGTAATATTTTAGTAGAATTTTTTTAACTAGAAAGTTGTTTTAAGAAGTAATAATAAAGTCATCTCAAGGCTTTGTTTGGGATGTATTTTTTGCTTTTTACAATAGCTTTTTAGTAAATTTTTTTTTTAAATTTTTATATTAAAAAGTTACTTTAAAAATTAGTAGAAAACCGTCCGAATGACGCCTTAGTCTTAGTTTGAAGGCTAATCATGTTTATGTTTCCCAAAGTAGAGAAAGATTATTTTAAAACGAAAATAATTGATTAGATTATTCTGATCAAAATTTGATAATAATGGATTCAAATTTATTTTAAAAAGAAAGAAACATATGAATAATTAACGAAATTTTAAACATATTTATTCCAAATTAAATTTATCAATTTTAAATTATCCTCAAATTTTTTCCTTTTTTTGAGATTTTGTTTTTTGCATAATTTTCCGGAAACAGGCTATTGGAATTCTTCAAAAAGGTTGGAAGCCACAGCTGTTCTTTGAAAAAAAAAACAAAAATATTGTAATTAATTCCTTATCAGAATTTTCAGAACTCTTCAAAAAAGCAATGCGTGACTTTTTTATTTAATACTATGTATTTTTTTATGATCAAGTCTATACTGTATATGGACAGCTATTTTCCAATAAAAAAAAATCACTTAGTAAATTTTAATATTAATATTTAAAATTCTAATTGTATTAATATTAATGTATTGTACATGGACAGCTATTAATGTATAATTCTAATTTTAATATTTAGTAGTCTTTTTTTGTAAGAAATTAATTTGTGCGGTCACCGGACTGTCTGGAGATGAATCAGAACGTGCCACATCATCCGGTACAGAGCAAAAAAATGACACTCTGATTTACCTCTGGATGACTTCCGTATCCGCACAGAATAATTTTACCTCTTTTACACTTCTTAATTTTTTTGGCAAAAAAAAAAATGATAAATCTGGCTAAGGTTTCTACGTACAATTTGTATATAATTTTTATTATTAAGAGGGCGTTTTTGAAAAAAAAAATGCCTAAGAATGTACCGACACAACTGGTGTGAGGATGAATTTGATAGTCTTTGCAATCAAATAAGGTTCATATGCTAATTATTTCAATAAGTTATTGTTATCACAATTTCAGCCCTTTTGATAAGAACAATATTTATTGATGAGTCATCACTAAAGGGTAAGGAAATAATAAAAAAAATCATTATGGTAAAATAAAATAATACAATTAAAAGAGAAAAAGACAGCCATTGGACATAATGATATGCCTATTAGAAGGATTTGATTTAGATCCTCTCCAATTATAAGGTAATTGCATTGTAATTACTTCAATTTCTTCTTTTTTTAATTACTTCAATTTCATCTTTTTTTTCTCTTCCTTTTAATTTAGGGTTTTATGTTGAGAATTCTTGATAGTGGACATCTATAGCAAATTCTTAGATATTGTGTCTTATTGCTCATCGTACAAGCATTACTTATTATAGTGTTTGTGAGAAGAAGATTTTCTTATAGGTTTTGTTGGATGCCCCTTGTGTCGACCTTCAAGTGACTTTGGATCTTCGATTCATTTATTGGATTTCTTTTCTTTTATTTCTCATAAGATATTATAAAGTTTCGAGCATGGAACTCATTTGCTTACGTGGTTGATTTCTTCCATAGAGATGAAAAACTCGACTACTTCCAAAATGATTATTTGATTTTAGTGGTCGAGTTGGTGGGTTCGACCTATCGTTGGGTTTCAAAGTGAGTTTTAGTGGACACTTTTAGGGTTTAGGTTTTGAGTTTAAGTTGTTGATCTTTCTAATGCGTATTTTAATTTATTTTGCTTCTTCTTAAATTCTTTGTGTTTGAGGTAAACACCTTCTTGTCATGTCTTCCTAAAACAAAAGATCATGATAGTTGTGCTGTAATGGAGGTTTAGAAGTCTCCTAGTTTGAAATTTTATTGCGGTATTTGCCATTGGAATGTGCAATTTTGAAAACATTGATACCCTTTTTTTATTCATTTTAGTGGCAGCAATATCTGAAGCCTGGACTATGGGGAACTTTTGCTTCTTCGGAATGATTACATAAGGCTTCTTATCTTGAGTAAACAAAGTTAGAGTGTGGAATAACAACTTCAGTTATCATGACCTTGACCCTCCAACAAGAGCTTGGACAACAATAACTCAAGGCCAAACTAATTCCTCTAATGTAATAGGAACTTGTCAAGTAATAGGTATAGTATTGACAATTATCCTAATCTAGTCAGCATCATTATAGAAGTTTAAACAATGAAATCAAACTAAATCATAACTCATGTTGTCCCATCATTGATGTTAGCATCATAGAATTAGGGATTTGTGCATTTTTAAGACTAGTTGTGAAGGGATCAACATAGAATTCAATTTGATCAACAATAAGGAACTTAGAAAGCTAAAAAATTAAATAACTAATTTGATAAGTAACCTTGAATTTTGAGGTGAAAGAAAAATAATAACATAAGTATTTGAGTGCTAAACATATATAGTCAAGATAATTAGCTAAAGATCAAAAGAGAAATTATCTCGAAGAAAGTCATGTTAAATTTATGAGCTATGAAACACTATTACAAGATGGGGCAACGTTACTTTCAACGTGTAGATTATGACGGTGGAAATGGAACTACCTATATATTTCACAATTTAATATTAGATTTTTTTTTTTTGGTTTGATGGTTTCTCAAGAGGAGAGAGCAGCAAAGGTTAATTACCTCCCTTATAAGCAAATCACTTCTAACTAAGGCTAGAGGTATTGGCTCTCTTGTAAGCACACCACTACCAATAAGTTCTATGTTGTCACGTAGCTAATTCTGGCTCTTTTAGTGCAATGGAAGAGGTCATCAACTCTTATAATTAGAGGAATCTAATTTGGAGGTTGTTGATTAGCTTAGCTCTATAGGGTTATTATGGGAATTCTATAATACTTAGCTTTTACTCACCTAAATATAGCTTTCAATGTTAATAAACTATCTTAATTTAGGCACCATGCAACTACTAGTCACTTGAATGTAACAAAATGTCTACTATACTTTCTTTTTTGCAGTATTATTCTAAGTTTTCTTCTTCATCATTATTCATCACTTCATATTTATTGGGTAGATAATAATAATAAACCCACCTCTACAAGTGCCTAAATTTTGTATAATCCCTAAAACTCCATTGCTTGGAGTGTTAAAAAAAATTGTAGCTTGATCCTCCATTATAATTGAATAGTAGTATTTTGTCATCATTTCTTTTATAATGCCCTAAGATCCAATTGGAAGAATTTTTTAATTTATCTTTTTAAATCATATATCAGAGTTTCTATAAATTATCAATATAAATCAATCTATCTCATAAAAGGAGTTAAATATCACACAAATTGAAACACTTCACTATATTCATTTATCAAAATTAATCATAATAGCTAGGAAATCACTAAAAATACATAATTTATCTATATCACCTGAATACAAAAGAGTAAATTTAAAATACATACTAAAAGAAGAAACTTGAAGATCTCAATCCACCTCACTTTATAGAATTTTGACCCTTTCTTTGACCTAGAATCAATAAAATCACATAATGAGCTTACAAAGCTCAGTAGAAACTAAAAACACACTAAAAATTTTAATACAATATTTAAAGAAGAAATATGCATGCTCATCTCAATCAATAGAATCAATATGCGTTCATTATCATCAACAATCAATCATTATTTATACGATTCAATATGATCACTAATGAAAAGCAAAAATCATTACATTTAAATTCATGAATCAATAATATGTGCGAGAATATAAATACATTAGTAAGCAAGAAAAAAGTGATCAATAAATTATTACTGTAAAACTTGAACATACATGTGTCAATGTCACTAGTCTTGTTCATCTTATCAATTATCTATTTTATGAAATTAGTACATGTAATCATTCATATGCTATATATGCTCACACATTACTAATCTATTTATTAATGATATTCATGCATGTAAATATTAGTATATAATTTAGCAAGGAAGGATATCCAGCTTTAAAGCGATGCTTTCATTCATTCTTTTATAATCATTGTATCATTATATATATCATCATCATTATCATTATTATTACATCATCTTTATCATTATCATTACATCTGGCTTTCAATAAATCATTAAGAGTTGTCACCCTCTACCTGTCGGTATAATCTAACATTAGTTACAGGTACAATAGGGATAATACTACAAACCATTTTCAAAAGAGAGCCCGTCGGCCCACCCTTCTTAATTATAGTGTTAACAAGCAACCTTCCTTGCTTACTTGCCAACACCACATTTATCTTATATCAGTTTTATTTATTTATCTTTCATACATGAAACACAACATGAAACACTTAAATATATAAAATATAAAAAAAATTGTATAGTAATTTATAGTTTTAGAAAATCATAAATTTTATTTTAATCAGTAAAATTCAATAATATTACAATCAAAATGTCCATAAAGTTCATATATATGGTATACTAAAATTTATAAGGTAAAAATGCGATAAATCATGATAAAATATATTTTTTATCTATTTATAAGTGATTAAATTCATCAAACTTAAATTAATTGAAAGTTTGAGTGGGATTCAGGATGCTTACAATGATCAGAACATGTTTCCTAATTGAAGTAATTGAGAAAAATGACTAAAACTCGACTTTCTCTCTCTTTTCTCTCTCATCTTCCTCTCCCTTTCCTCTCTTCTCCCATGGTAATCGACACGAAATGGGGGAGAAGAGTCTATTGAGGTGACTTAATGCTCATCATTTAAAATAATATATATATTAAAATATTAATTGGTAATGGCTTAGCGTAGCATCTCTCCGAACTAGAGCCATAGTGTTGCATGTTCAATCCATAATTACTATAGAACAAAACCTTAAGTGTTGCGGTGGTGATTTATGGCTCCGTTGTGCTCTCAACCAAGCACAATGTCGAAACACTCTAGTTCTAATAGAAATTTAAAATTTTATTTTAAAATACTTTTCATATTTTTGAGTTGTTACAACTTTTGAGCTTCATTAGGTATGCTTCTTACTCATCGACGTTGGGATCTACCTTCCTCGGCTCATAGAGATTTATTTTGAAGATGTCGGTGTCACTCATGAGATGAAATCATTCCTTTCACTTATGGATGAAACATATGGGTATTAATTACCATTTTATTTAAGAAAAAGTTCAAAATGACATTTTTCTTGTAGCATGCATCTTATCCGGTGATATCAACTAGCACATGCTTGCAAAAAACCACTTTCGCACACTCCGGTCTTTACATTAAACATCAAGATTGTGCTCTCCAATTGAAGCTCCATCTTGATAATGTATATGTAAAGCAATAGTATACTCATTATATTTATGTAGTTAGTTTCATTGTTTTTGATATTTTTTAAATATAGAAAATAATGTTGAATTTTCAAAATTTCATTAACCAAATGATAGAAAATAGAAGATCTAGATTCCATCCTCATTTCATGCAAAAGAAAAACCATAATGTACGCAGTTACGCACTCGACTACGTACTAATTGTATTCTATATTTTTTGAAGTACATAGTTGTATGTCATTTTGTACTTGCAATATACTTCAAAAAATGAAATACACATCAAGTACATATACCTATATACTTAGCACATCACTATATACTCAGTACACAGCTAGTATATAATTGTATATATCTCTCTAATTTGTAGATAAAGCTACGTCCGTCATTTAAACCTAATAATTTCTCATAATCATGATTAAAATACTAAATTATTTTTTATGAAATAAAACAACACCATATTATCATATAAATTGCACAAATCTACTATAATATATTATATAGTTTGGGAACATTATCATTATATAATATAAAATTTTATGAAATCTAAATATCAAAGAAATAATATTATATATATTATATTATATTATATATTATATATTTTATATATATATAAAAGAAATATAAAATTCAAATTTGAACTTACCATATGTTGTTTTCTAGAGAGAGAAAATAATAGAGCCCCACAAGTTTAAAACAAACAAAGGTCCAAAAGGAGAACAAAGAAGCAAAATCCACTATCCGGTCCGTGTCCAAAAACGCTACAGACCGGTCAAATAACTCATGCGTAGATGGGGACTTTATTTAAATAAGACGTGTCCTATACTCCTATTTGCATTCTTTTTATTTTTTTATTTTTTTATTTTTATAAGAAGAAATTTTTTCTATATGTCAACTTAATCTCCGAATGATTCTCAATTTGATTTTTGTAAATTACAAAAAATATGAATATTTATAATAATAATAATAATATATTTATATTAGAATTATTTTTGCTTATGATAATAGGTAACAAAAATTATAGTTTTTTTTTGGAAAATAGCAACTCATTGAAATAGATATTTTTTGTTTATTTTTTTATATTATTTATGGATGCTAAATTTCTTACATGAGTATGCGGAATTAAAAATGGATCAATTCAGATGATTTTTTAATCATTAAAAAATTTAAAATTTTATAATATTAAATTCTTTAATATTTTCTTCATACTAAAAATAAATTAATATTTAATATTATGAAAGATATATACTATCATAACTGTAAATTTTAAAATTCTTAAAATTATTTTGAAATGAGTATACTATTTTTTTAATGCATTATATTTATCATAAAATAAATTTAAAATTTAAAATTTTATTTTAATAATATAATTCATCATTATTCATAATATACTTGGATGGGCATTTTTTTAATCATAAGCCTCAATTTCCCGAAAAAAAGAACATTTTTATGCTATCCCCATGAAAGATGGCGTATTTTTGTCCTTGAACCGCAAGGGGGCCTTTGACTCCTCGTCTCCTTCCACGAGCTGACGAGCAATTCAAACACGTTTCAAAGAAATTTTTTATTTTTTTTGGTTTTTTTGGGTCAAAGAAGAAGCTTTTTAGAGAACAAAGTATCATCGCTGACGACGACAATGGTTATGTCGGGTAAGCTCCTCTCTTCTTTTGGCAGGTAAGTATTAGTTTACCCAGTGAAGGTTTTCTTTGACACGAGTTCATACTTTTCTTATCTTCTAGATTCTTTCACATGAGATTTCTTTCTTTGTAGTTTCAGCTCTAAAGGTCTCATCTTTCTATTCTTATATCGCAACTTCCTTTTCTTCTTCCTTTTCTTCTTCTTCTTCTCTTGAGTTCTTCTTTTTTCGTATGAGATTTCTTTCTTTGCTATTCAGAGAGGGTTCCAGTTCTAAAAGGTCTCGTTTTTCTATTCGTTTTAGCTACTTCTTCTTCTTCATCTGCTTTTTCTGCTGTTGATTTGGGTTTTTCTTTCGCTTCAGTATTGCTGATGAGACTGTGATTTGTCTGTGTGATAGATCTTTGGAATGGGCTTGACAAAATGGAGCAGAGAAGTAATGGTGTTTCTGCTCTGTATTTTTGTATTGGTGATTTTGAAAGAAGTGGAAGCTTATAGAGATGAGAAGCCAGGAAGAATATTGCATTTTGAATCAGGTGATTGCATCAATCATGTTTTTTTTTTTCTTGACTGCAGAAGATGTTTTGATTTGAAAAGTAAGGTTAGTTTTTTTTTTCTTTTGGAAATTTCATTCATTGATTTAAGATTTTGAATGGCTTCCTTTGTGTTTTGGTTCATCATCCAAAGTCCAACTGAGTTGTTGAGTTTATGTAAATTTGTCAGTGTAAGATTAGTGAAGTTTATTGTGTGAAATGGAATCTTCTGTTAATTTTATAGTGTTTTTGTTAGGTAGAAATGGTTCTGGCAGACAATTATTCAAATGGAAAGTCCAATTGCAACTCTTTTTTGTTTAATTTGTCATTTGAATTTGTGCTTTTGATCTGTGCTTCTATAAACACCTTTCTTTGTGGTCTTAAATTGCAAAAAAAAAAAAAATGTATATAGTAATAATAGTAATTCTAACTGTACAAGTTTTATTAATATTGTTATTGTTGAATTTAAACAAAATATACACTTATGTCTCAAACTTTGATAAATGTTCACAAAATTTCCTACTTGGAGTTGTTAATTTTGCATCACAATTTATAATTTTGTTTGCAATAAAGAACTCTAAGATGAAGGGAGGTGAAAAAGGCAGAAGAAATGGAAAATTTGAATTGAGCCCTACTTATCTTTTCTTCTTATGTCTGAGTTTCATCGTTTCAGGGAGGATTTTGGTGGAGAATGGGAACATTTCAGAGTCTGTTTTAACCCGTCGAACCGAAAGAGTTGATCCTTTGGATGACTTGAAGAGATACAAAGGAGGCTTTAACATCACAAATAAACATTATTGGGGTGTAAGAAATTTGTCAGTCTTTTTTTTTTTTGTTCAAATTTTGATTATCTTTGGATTTGATTAGGCAAAGTCAAATTGATCTTATGATTATATTTCATCTTGCAGTCAGTTATCTTTACTGGCAAATTTGGGTACTTCATCGGAGCGGCATGGCTCGTTGGTGGCCTCATTTATGCTGCAATTTTGATAATATCATCACTTTGCTTCAGCAAACAAGGAAGATATGAGAGAAAGAGGCCAAACTCCTTCAACAAGGTTTATAATTGGCCTCTTCTCTTAGCAATTTCATTAACCTTTCTAGCTATGTAAGTATAATATAGTTCCATCCTCATGAAAGCAAAAAAAAACTCAATTTTGACATATATAAATACATGCAGAATTGCATCTGGAGTGGCACTTGGTGCTAGCTCTATGTTTCATTCTAGAGCCAAAACAATCAAAAACATTGTGGTGAATGCAACAAATAATGCATCAGGGACGATATACACAGTGACGGAGGCTGTCGAAAACCTGCAAAATGCTACCGAGTTTAGCCAAAATGTACAAGGGTCAAGCAACATAGTTTCGACATCAAAAAAGCTTAATGATGATACTAGAAGAATAGAGAGGAAGGCTGATAGGATCATGCGCTGGGTTGGAAAAGGTCTCAATATTCTGTAAGATTCATAACAAGATGAAAGAAATAGGGGTAGAAAGGAATTGTTCAACCTTTCATGTTCTTCATGACTGACAAGCTTTCACTTTATTGCAGAAATGCAGTCACTGTCATAACTATTTCTTTGAATTTAGTAGCCATTCTTGCATTGCTGGGTAAGTGAAGTATTGATTACAGTCTTTGTGACCCTCACACTAATGATAGATTGTTAAATTTGCTTATAATTGTGATATTTTTGTTGTACCAGGAGTTCTAAGGCTTCCTCGAATTTTTCGAATGTAAGTCGGTTGCATTGCCTTTGTTTTTGTCTCTAATAGAACCTCATATCTCATTCTAATTGTGATTCATTTCACATTTTGAATATGTTATCAATCAAATGTTTACATTCTGGCAGGCTTATCATTCTTTGCTGGCTGTTGATAATCCTCCTATGGGTCTACTTTGGACTTTATTATTTTTTTGGAAAGTAAGATAAGTGTGATCTTACACTAAAAATTATCTATGCACGCATGTAAGGTTAACCAAACTAAATCTTAAGATACTTTTCGCAGATTTGCCGGCGATGTTTGCTTAGCTCTAGATGAATATAAACAAAATCCAGAACAAAGCACATTAAGCTCAATTCTTCCTTGCAATGATCGTGGCTCGGCGGCGAAAGTGTTGCATGATGTTAGCGGCCGTGTTTATGATTTAATACAGAAGGTAACACAGTTTTCAAATCTTATGAACATCATCAATCATGTTATACAACAACATAACAGCACCATTTTTGTAGAATTTTTCTTGTTCCAACTTAGAAAATCAAGATATTAGAAGACATAAAAGTTATATAATCTCTTACCTTATAATTCCAAAACTTCCAGGTGAACTCAAACATAACATCCTTGAAATCATCAATTTCAGAGCTAGAATATATCTGCAATCCATTTTCAGGGCCACCTGAATACACCTATCAGCCACAAAATTGTTCTTCAGATACTATCACTGTAGGACAAGTACCCCAGGTGAGTCCCAAGGAACGCCTTCCTTTATTGTTCTTTACACCCTCCATTACTAGAGAAAGTTTAACTAAGGGTACTTTTACAATTCTTTCTCAAGCTTATAGAGAACTATGCGTGCTCGGCGAACGACAGTGGAGGCTGCAGGCCTGGGGAATTCATTCCTGCTGATGTTTATGGCGCACTCAAAAACTATTCAAAATCTATGCAGGATATCCTTGATTCATATCCAGTAATGAAGAGCCTGATAAATTGCCAGTTAGTGAAGGATGCCTTCTCTAATATACTACTCAACCATTGCAAACCATTGAAGAAATATGTGCATATGTCATGGGCATCATTGGCAGCTCTCTCAACAATCATGGTGATTCTCATTTTCATCTGGGAATCAAAAGCCCGTCGAGATCATAAATTTCGATCTTCCGATGGATCGGTGAAGCCCAGTTCGACCCCTACGGAATCAGTTGAAGTTGATGCAACTCAAATGGCTCACAATGATATGGAACATATGCTAGAAATGAAGGAATAAGAGAGATATATACACTGTTATAGAGTTATATAGTATGACTTTGCGGGAAAAAAAAATACTATATACTTTTTTATTGATTCTTCAACAAGATAATGTGAGCATTAGGGGATGGAGATGGATAAAAAGATGCTGTCCACCCTAAAAATCTTTCTTTGATATTCTTCTTTCTGTAAGCTTGTTGGATCATAAAAATATACAGGGAATGAGAACACAGCTTAGAGTTGTTTCATTTGTATTTATTTGTAAATATGAAGCAAATGGCTTTAAAGAGAAAGGGATGATTGTTTTTTTCTCCACAAGGTTTTCTTCCATGGTGTAAACTTTGTTCTTAACATACAGAATTGCTAGTTGTATTCATTGCTCTGTACATTGGTTAATACCCATATGTTAATCAGATTGGATCAGATAAATTGCTCATGTTAAGTTCGAGTCGAACAAATTAGATAAAAATGGTTGATCTTATCGGTTAATCAGATCGAATCAAAACAATCAGTGGTTGTATGTGAGCTCATCTTTTATCTCGAAGATTCTAATACATATATCATGTAATTAACAAGATATAATTAGCATATCTTTTTTTTACAAGATTTTATGAGATCATATTATGTCATTCATGTATTTATCTTGTAATATAATTTTCTTTATACAGTATTGCATCTACAACAACTTATTTGTCTCAACCTTATTACTTTCAATCATTAAAATGACATACCTTCCCTGAAGTTCTTTTCAGCTTCGTTTGGGATGACTTATTGCTTTTTAAAACAGTTTTCTATTATAAAATTTTTTATTTCAAAAATTTTTTGTATTAAAAAATTGCTTTAGAAAGCAATAAAAAAAATCGCCTCAAACGAAGCCTTATCTTCGGTTCTCTACGTTTCATATTCAATCATGTCAGGTATGGCAAATAAATATGGATTTAACAAATACAACTATTAAGCAAATCATAATCAAGACTTTATTTGTGATAGTTTTTTTATTGCTTCTTAAAGTAGTTTTTTAGTACAAAATTAACATTTTTATATTAGAAAGCTGATTGAAGAAGCAGTAAGAAAGCCGTCCCGCACGAAGTCTAAATTTAAAACAATTCATTAGAGGAGCTAATAAAGCTCTTATATTTGAAAGAAACATGATGGGTTAGAATTGGAATTTCTTTAAAATATATAGCATCGAAAATCTAAAAATTAATTATTATCTTATCTCAAAAAGTATCATTTCTGAAGGAGATTTAAAACCTAATAATGAAGGATTAGTTCGATAACTTTTGTCTCAAGTTATTAAATTATCCTCTTTATATTGCAGGAAAGGAGCAATCAATGTGTGCTTTAAAATATTGAAATAAATATTTTAATTTTTTTATAGAATTTAATGAGAAATAAGCTTTATTTACTTTTAATAAATGATTAGTTTGATAATTTTTATCTCAAGTTATTAAATTATCCTCTTTATATTGCAGGAAAGGAGCAATCAATGTGTGCTTTAAAATATTGAAATAAATATTTTAATTTTTTTATAGAATTTAATGAGAAATAAGCTTTATTTACTTTTAATAAATCTACTAATATTTAGACTGATCAGTATAATATTATTTTAAAAGAAACCAAATTTAATAACATGAAAATAATAATAATAATATTATTATTTAACAGCCGCCTGAAGCTTAAAAGAACTAATCGTCACTGCTTGCAGAAATTTAATGCTATTTGATTCCTAAGAAGATAGATAAAAAAATATAATTTTAAATGTAATTTGAAAATAGTAAATATTCATCATCTTCTCTTTCTTAATATTTTATATATTTAAGCTAAAGAAAGGGCTTAAAAAGCCAAAAAAAGGCGTTAAAACTATGATTTTTTAATTATTTTTTAATCCAAATTCACTTTCATAATACTTTTATATAATTTCTTTTGAATAACTATTAAAAAATAAATTTGAAAATATTAATTATTTAAAATCATCCACAACCGCCCATCTTTCTATTATTATTTTATACATGTATCATATGCAATGCAATTATGATTAATGTTGTGTCCTGGAAAATTCGTGGCGGTAGAGAAATATAAAGTAGCGTCATAGTCTTATACGAAGATCCAACACATAAATAGATAAATAAGTAGGATGCAGTGTTTATAAGTGACACCAGAGTTTTGATGTGGAAACCCTTGAAAATGAGAAAAACCACGGTATCTGACCCAGTTTGAATGAATTCACTAATGTTTTTAATTGATTACAAATGAGGCACTTCCTTAGGAGGAAGGCCTTGGCTCGATGTAGCAAATATAAATCATATAGAGTGCATTATTTGGTGGGAGTTGGAAGAATCAATGTTGATATGTTCGTTTGGTTGGCAAGACCATAGTCAACGAGCAATATAGGTCGGAAGGATCGTAGTCCGATGGCGGTGGTTGGAAGGACCGTAGTCAGGCGACGGAGGTCGAAAAGACAGTAATTAGGCGACGATGGTCGGAAGAACCGTAGTCGGGATACTGTGTGTAAAACCCCTCAAATTTTCATTTTTGTGTACTGTTAGTCCGGACGAACTGGCCCTAGTACAGGACGAACTGAAGAAAATTGTAAAAATCTGTATTGTTAGTACGGACGAACTGAGTAAAAATGCTGGTTCGTATGGACGAACTTGGGTGCATCGGGACGAACCGTCTGGACGAACTGAACCCGAGAGTTTCGTCTAGGGACGAAATAAATTGGAATTAATTTTTGTCTGTACGATCTGTGTCCAGAGGAGTTCGTCCCGGGACGATCTGGGCATCGTCCTAGACGATCCTGCTTGATAAATTGAGGATTTGAAATATTTTGAGATATTTTGAAGAGAGAGAAAAAGGCAGGAGAGAGAAAGAGAAGGAAAGAGAAAGAAGAAGCTGGGTTTTGGAGCTCGCGATACACTTTTCGTCCGACGCCGCTGTTAGAAGAATTGTTCGTCTCACAGTAAGGAATCCGAATCCTAATTCTGATTTTGAAGATTTTGTGTTTTGGTATTTTTCTGCTCAGTTTTGTGTTTCCGTTACCGAAATTCTTGCATATCTTTGTATTGATGAAACTTTTACCACGTAACTTTTGGTATGTTATAGAATTGATGATTTTGCATGATTTGAGTATTTTCTGGAAAGTTTTTACTGGGTATTTTGATTTCTGTGGGATTTTTATCGAATAGAAAATTATCTGATTGTTGGAAAATATTGCTTCAATATAAGTAAAGTTTTGAAACAATGTTTTATGCGATTTCTAGTAATTCGGTAATTTTTTAAAATTGTGTTTTTCATCTCTGTTTGGGATTTCTGTCGACTGTACGATATTTTGAGGATTTTCTTTAATAGAGTAAAATTGTGTTTATTGATTGCATTGTATTAATGAGATGTATATGAATGTGCATAGACGATTGAATTATTGTTATATTACTGAAAGACAAGTAAAGACTAGTTGAACCGTTGGTTGGAGATTGGACCTGTACAGGATGGTGGGCCGACGAGCTTTCCTTTAAAAAGAGTTTGGTGTTATCCTCTATTGATCACGTGATATAACGATTGGGAGTTATAAGGAGATTACTACGCCGACGGGCAGGGGTGATGATTCTATCATTGAGCCAACGTAATACTAACATTGAAAAACGCCTTAATAGCCAGTGATTGTATTTGTTAAGTAACACTACTGTATTGCATTACATGTGTACAGTACTGTTTTTATGTTAACTTTATGGATTTATCGATATTGACTGATTTATTGATATGGAATTGATTTATTGTTATTGAATGGATTTACTGACGGATTTACGGGTTTACTATTACTGTACGATTTCATTGATATTGCATTGATTCATAGATACTATAGATACCGATACCGATACTACTGATCCACTGATACATTGATTCATTGTACCGATCTTATAGCACGTGATATATCGAATACTAACCGATACATGTGATACATGCGCTACACCGAGCACGTGATATAAAATATGATTTTACTGTATTGATTGATTTTAATTGTTATTATTGATTTATTGATCTGATTGATTCTATTGATATGATTGGGCGATGTTAATTGTATTTAATTTGACCGATTTACTAGTATTGATTCTTTTACTGATTCTTTTACTGTGATTCGTTTACGGAGAATTTATTATTTCTGTACGAATTTACTGTTACCACACGATTTCACTGTTATAGCATAATCGTTCATGTCGTCATTGGATTATTATTAATATTGATACATACACTGCTGCTATTGATTCACTGAACTGACATTATGCACGTGATATACTGAGCAAGTGACATGTGATTCCATTGAGCACGGGATATTGATTTCTGGGTTGCATATGATTAATTGAGCAAGTGATAAATAACTGGAGTTTGCAAGTGTAAGTTGGTATGTTGTGATACCATTCTACTTCATTGACTCGATTGATGTTATAGACTGGTGAGATAGATAAGACGACTACTGTAGAGATGTGATGCACGTATTGATTTATTAAACATTATAGATTTTCTACTATTCACTGATTCTATCACTGATGATTTTTGATACTATTGTTTATGTATTGATTTCTATTATATTTTGGTATTGATATTGTTTATACATTGATTTCCGTTACTGCATTCATTTCTATTTCTGTACTGATTTTCGTTCCTGCATTGATTCAATGATCATGTATAAGTGACTGTTATTGATTTAATTGATTGATATGCATATTGTTTTCCGTACCGTGCTTTGATTTCAGTTATAGGCTTTGGTAACCTGCTAGGCTTTTTGAAGCTCATTATATATGGTTAATGATTTCAGGTGCAGAGCCTCCCGCGTGAACTTCTTTCAAATACTATAATAGTTTTTGGTAGTTTTTGGTTCTTGCATTGTTTTGTAGCCCGAGCGGCTATTGTACATGTTCTTTTGGATGTACATGTTCTTTAGGATTGTGTTTATGAAATGCCAAATATGAATTATAGTATTTTGATGTATTTATTTTCTGTAATGCAATTATCATTTCTGGATGTCTGTAATGATCTGAGAAAAAAAAAAAGAAAGAAAAAGAGAAGAAGAAAAAGAATGTCAGACGAATCATTTCACTATAGATATATGGGACTCCACACTGTGGTCAGAAGGATCATAATCAGCGGGCGACGGTGATTGGGAAGAACTACAATGGCGGTGGTCGTCGAAAGGGCAGAACTCCGATGATGGTCGGGAAGAACTCTGGTGGTAGTCGATGAAAGGGAGGAAGTCCGGCGGTGGTTGACTAAAGGGAGAAAGTCGGGCGGTGATATGGAAGAACTCCAGCGGTGGTCGATGAACTGGTGGAAGTTCGACGATGGTCGACGAACAGGTGAGAATCTGGCGGTGGTCTAGAA